GTTATAAAGTAAATGGGTATTTCTTTCGAATATGTCGAAGTAAGGTTTATTTACAAGTTTTCAGGAGTTGATATCAAACATTCCAATGGTAAGAAATCAGTTAAAATGATGTGACGTGTTAGTCATTGAAAGACCCGAGAAACCACTTTTTTATGTTTAAGGCACTTCTCTTTTTTAAGAAGTTCTTGGCTTATTGGTACTCAGGTTTGGTTGGTGTTATTAGGCTGAACTTTCTTAATAACCATAACAGATTACTATTTTTAAAAGCCGAATAGAAAAGAGGCACTTATCGCTTTGTATTGTTAATGATTCTGTTGATCAGTACGTAAGTCAATATTTTAATTTTTCATCGCCAAATTCTTGAGACGGTTTACTCCACGTAAACTGCATTAAACGAAACCACAGCATCTCAGACCAAGCAAGATCCATCTTCACGGGAAATGATGCAAGAACAACTACAAACACAGTCAGTAATGCCCTGCATACGATCAGTGAATTGCTGATATGTACCATATTTTGAGATTTGCATGTAATTCTGTGTTGTCTTCCTAACCATCTCCTTTGTTGGAGCACCTGAAGATCATTCCACAGTATGCAGCGTTATCGCTGGAATTGTCTTTGCAACTGTTCTTGCATAGTGAGTGGATGCAGCTCGATCCGAAACCTCCTCATATTCCTTAGTAAAATTTGTATGCGGAGTAAACCCTTCGAAGATTTTGGCGATGAAAAATTTTACACTCGCATAAAGGATTCAATTATTAATTCAGTTTAATTTTCATTAACAGACACATTAATTACCGTTGATTTAGAAAGACAGTTACAAGCTGCTACTGCCGTCATCAGCAATTCCACGGAGGTGACGGATGTTTGTAAGACGTACGCCGAAAAAGTGTCTTGTTACCACAACTACCACGTGTGTGATTCAAGGTTGACTAGCAGGAGCACTGTGAAAATCCTGTTAATATGCAAGTGAGTCGAGCGAATATTAACGGCTATTGTTCACAGTCATAGCAATAACCAGCGTTAACGTACAACGGTGATATTCGAATTTTTAGACGAGACTGTCAACTGCTAGAGGAGGATATCTGTTGGGAGGAATACAAAGCCGCTAAGACGGATGGTCTGATTGGCCAAGGCGCATTGTTGCCCGATTGTAGCAAGCTAAATTTCACCGGCAGCGATTGTATTCATGTTTTAGATATTGAGGAGGATGCAAAGATCGATCCATGTAAGTCATCTTATTTGTCTTATTTACTTTTATATTTTGTACATTATTCAGCAAATTTGATTTAAAGGCGATATTCTGCTTGTGATTGAACAGCCTAGAATCTTTTTTTACATTCATTGATGACTCATGTACGAGTTAGAGAAGAACTTAAATATTATAATAGCGTAGAGATGTAACGAAACGCGCGCTGCTTTAGAGTTCTTCGAAGATCGCGTCACATGTTTAGGACTACTGTAATTGGGATATTTAAGACGTCGGAATGTTCTAATATGAGCTAGGTCCAATAATACAGTATTCTGCACAAAAAAATAATTTCATGGTTGTCTTCCACTTGAGTGAATGCGAAACAACAGCAGTAGATTTTTCTAGCCTCAACGATGTCCTGTAGAACCTTAGACTGTACCGTGAGATAACGGTAAAAGATGACGTGTAGGATGAAAATCATTCAAAATCATGCAGCAGCGGTGCTGGATCGTTATGTCCCTCCTGTTTTACGGAATACTGCGCATCACTGTTGTGCAACAGTTGTCAGTTTTCTCAGTAGTGATTGCTCTCCCGTGATATGAGTGTCGTAGAAACAGCGCTACGATTCTGGCCGCAGCAATTTATGAGTGCATGAAGACATGAGTTGCCATCAAATATCGTGTCTACCGAATTCCAGGAAAACTTTCTGCTCGCATAATTTTTGACGGTAACAGCAATACAAGTTGTAACGATGTCTGACCGAATGTGACTTTCTTACCAAGTGACTGGTTGAAGATCCAGGCAATGTCCTAAGTCTCCAGTCTTAAAAGTATCGCCGCCCAACGAATATTCGATGAGAAAATCTTCGTCAAAAATAGAATAGAAAGAAAATTACTGATCGCTATTGCGTTGAGGTGCCGGTTATACAGTAAACTGCTGTACGTCAAGCATTCAAAGGACATTTACAGCGCCCTCTGCTGCGAAACGCATGTAGCCCAGAGTTATTTCGCCATTCCGAGCGCAGTCACCATCTCAGGTTTTTGACCATGCCATGCCGTGTGAAGGAAAGTAAGTGCTCGCGAAACTGATATGAGATCATCGACTAATGGTTTCTCAACCTTCTAACCTCTTACTCTGTGATTTGTTCGTCGAAATGCTGAACTTGCGGCGCGATTTTATAAAAATGGCTATATCTCAAACCTATCTCAATCTATCTATTGCAATTGCGTCCATACCCTAAATGTTCCAAAATCGATTATTACCTAGGGTAGAGAGTGAAACGTATGTACTTTATTCTACAGAAAGTACAAGAGTACATGCGCGATTTTAATGCGCACGTCGGAGTAGACGTTGAAAAGTGGAACGGCGTGATTGGGAGAAACGGCCCTAG